CTCATTTCGTAAAACAATTTCAAATATCCATACAATTCCAAAGAATGTCATAGTTCGTAGGGATATGATTCCTAGTGAACTATCTATTTTGTATTTTTTGCGTTCCAAAGCGTATGAGCTTAATAAATCATGTGGCTTATTTAAATATTATGTAGTTGACCTTGAAATAAAACAGATTAAAAATCCCAAACCTTTTAAATCATATACTAAATAGGGTCACGACTGTAAACCACAGAAAATTTTTAATGTGTTTAAAACAAATTCCATTGACAGATTATCTTGTATTTATTTTAATAGTAGGTCATTATCTAATAAAATTCCAGATTTCAAGCACTTAATTACTCTTTATAACCCCGATGTTTGTTTGGTAACAGAAACTTGGTTTTCAGATCATAGTATTATTCCATCGGATTTATCGTTTTCCTGTACTTATCAATATTTTTTCGCTAATAGATCATCCAAAAAAGGAGGGGGTGCCCTTATACTAATTCATAAAAATATTCCTGTTCAATTAATATTCTCCGGTACAAAATATAACTGTGAAATTATTTTTCCTAAATTATTGCTTCACCCAATCATATATTTAGTCAATCTTTATCGACCTCCGAATACAAGTATATCTAACACTAAAAAGTTATTAAAGTTTATTGGAAGCTTTAATTCTAAAGAAATTATTTATACAGGGGATTTTAATATTCCAGGAATTTCCTGGAATAAAAATATGTGTGATAATACTAATATTTCAAAGCTACTTATTGAATGGACTGATCAACATCAACTTAGGCAGCATGTAAATGAACCGACTAGGGGAGACAAAATTTTAGATCTAGTTTTCTCACACCCTTTTAATATAATAGATAATTTAGAAGTCAAGGAACATTTCTCATCTTCTGATCATAATTTAATTATGTTTGGTATAAAAGTATCTTATGAAAAACGCATCACTTCCAAGCCCTTAAAGAGACAGATTACTCTCAAAGGATTCACAAATATGAATAAATATCTGTCATCTATTAATTTTGAATATATTCTCTCCTCTAGTTTCACTATTAACGAAAAGTATAATAAATTTACTGAAATTATCAATTATGTTTTTAATGAATTTCACCCAATGAAGAAGGTTAATAAGATTATTAAAGATAATTATAGCAGTAAGGTAAAAACACTTTATAGAGAAAAACTAAAACTACATAAGGAACTAAAAGTAAAAAACTCAAAGGATTTACAATTAAAGTATAGGATAATTACTCGTCAATTAAGACTTGAATTAAGGAAATTTTATTATAACAAGGAAAGAAGTATAGTATCAAAGGGATCCAACTCAATGCATCGATTTATAAAAAATAAACTTAAAACACAAGAAATAGACACATTAATTGATTCTAAAGGTGTGATATATAGTAGTGAACAAGAAAAATGTAACCTACTAGCAAGCATTTTTAACGAATCATTTAATATAGATTATAACAATGATATTGCATTTAATACTAATCCGACTCATGAACTATCTGATATTACTTTTACTATTTTAGACGTTTTAGATATCCTCAAAAGATCTCCTAATAATAATTCTACATCACCAGATAATATTCCATACACTTTACTTAGGAATTGTTCTGAAAGGATAGCTCCAATTATAGCAGATTTATTTAGACTTATATTAGATAGTAGGCAAATACCTGAAATATGGCGAAAATCTTTAGTTGTTCCAATCCATAAAAAAGGTGATAAAACTGATCCATATAACTATAGACCAATCTCTTTGACATGTACCATGTGTCGAATCTTTGAACGTTTAATATCTAAATATATAGTTGAATTTTTGCATCTCAAAGGATTTTTTAGTAATGAACAATTTGGGTTTTTGAAAAACAGGTCTACAACGACACAATTACTTACAGTTTTGGAAGAATTTTACTCTGCGATTGAGAATGGAGAAAAAGTAGATGTTATTTATATTGATTTTAAGAAAGCATTTGACACTGTACCAATTTATAAACTTCTCATAAAGATTAATGAAGCAGGTATAAGTGGCAAGATATTTGATTTTATCAAAAACTTCTTGACAAATAGAACATATAATGTTAAGATTAATAATAAACTATCAGATAACTTTAGAACCACTTCTGGTGTACCTCAAGGAAGTGTCCTTGGTCCAATATTATTTACTATATTTATAAATGATCTTCCTAAATCTCTACCAGAAACTGTATTCTGTAAACTTTATGCAGATGATGTTAAATTATTTGTAAAGCATAATAATGATTCACAAAGAGAAATTCTAGTTAACTCATTAAATGCACTACAGGAATGGGCTGATAATAATTGTCTAACAATTTCTAAGGAAAAATGTTTCGCTTTATACATAGGGAAGAATAACACAAATTATCAATATAAACTTGGAGGATTAGTAATTGAAGAATGTAAAGTTATAAAGGACCTTGGTATTTTAATAGATAAAGAGTTGAACTTTACACAACACATTAATCAAATAGTTAAGAAAGCTTATTTTAAGATGTTCCAGTTGCTAAAAGTCTTAAAGACTAAAGACCTAAAAGTTTTGATTAGTGCATTTAAGTCATATATACGCCCCCAACTTGAGTACGCAAGCGAGATATGGAATCCTCAATTAAAAACACAAATTTCTCAAATAGAAAAAGTACAAAAATATTTTACTTCCAGACTATTATATATTAAAGGGGTCAAAAAAATACCTTATAAGGAAAGATTAATGAATTTTAATCTTAAAGAACTATCTCATAGAAGGGCAGTTGCTGATCTAGTAATGGCGCAGAAAATTGTTACCAAACAAACAAATTTAGATCCTGTTAAATATTTTTCTTTTGCTAAAAATGCCAAGAGAAAAATATATTACCTTCATACTAGAAAATGTAAGAAAATATCACGCAATAATTTTTTTGTTAGAGTAATACATAATTGGAATAAACTTCCTAATGAATTATTAACTATATACAAGACTAAAAGATTTAGAGAGTCTGTCAATGGAATAACGTTTTAAAAGTTTTGTATCACTTATAAATTATAAAAGGCTGGGTTAATCTGTCTTATTTTATACCAATTTAAAATTTGTTTTTTTTTGTTTTTAACAATTTATTTTTTTATTATTGACATGATTTTTTTTTGTAATTTAATTGACAATTTTATTTTTCACCACTGTAAGTGTATAATTTATTGTACCGTGTGGTTTGCATAAATATTTATTTATTTAAAATCAAAAAACTTTCCTAGACAATCAAATAATTCCCCCTCCCCCACCCGACATGAATTACCATTTCCCCGTTTGTTTTTCTTCTTCTTAATTAAATAAATCCAAAATTTTCGTTTAAAGATAGCAATTCTTATTGCTGTAGTTCTTCTAGTTGTTGGTATTTTATTGTGTAGAAAGAAAACCCCTCCAGAAGATATAGCTAGTAGCGAAGAAGGGGATGATAATACTCGTTATCAACAACAAAAATCAAATGGAAATGATAGTTTTAGAGAAAGAAATGGAAGTTCTAAACATAAAAAATCTGCCCCAGAAAATGGAATTAATCAAAAGTTGGAGAATATTTTTCATTTAAAAAATTAGTGTTAATTTTTTCTAGTTTGGATTCTTCTAAAAATCAACAAAAATTAAGTGTTCCGTCTTGTTTAGTTACAGAAAATGAAGTAAGGCCAAAAAATATTTTAGAATCAACTGTTTATGCTGCCATAAATAATAAACAACACAAGGATTCTATTGTTAGGTAAAAATTATTTTGATTTTTATTGGAGAGGATTGGGTGATTATTAGAACAAATATATTTTTTGGTAGAAACGATTTTCAATTGTTTAAATATGTTTATCTTGAATTATTTATAACTTCCTTTAATTCAATAATTATTTTAATAAAGCCAGAGGTCGGTCAAATGACGACGTTTATTCCTTCCAATTTCCGGAATTTTGGAAAATTTCCAATAATTTTTGAAGTATTGTTCCCACTAAAGTTTTTGTCTAAAAAATGCCTTAAGCGCAGACCCGACTCAAAAACAGTAACTTTATGAGGATTTATACTAAATCCTCGTCCCAAAAATTAAATAGAAGAGCAATAAGTATCATATACCTAAACGCATGAATGAAATTTAGATATAAATAAAAGTTAAATTCAATTTTTTAATATTATGTAAAAATGAAAAATAAATAATTTACAAAATTTTTACAACAAATATAATTTCAAAAAATATTTTCAAGTAACAATATATTAAAATATTCTTTGGATATTTTTAAACAAAAAAACATCTTTTTTCGTTTAGATATATCTGGGGGGAGACATTTTTGAGACATTACCGATTTCCGAGTTCCAATTTCCGACACCATCATTTCCGACCGGCCTCTTATTATGAGTATGGAGCCTCTTATTATGAGTAGGGTGGAAAAAAGGTGTTTTTACATTGGTGTTTTACATACAATAATTATTTTAATGACCACCAGAGATCGGCCAGAAAAATTTTCTCCCGATTTCCTAAATTTTGGAAAAATTTCCGAAAATTTTTAGAGTATCGTTCCAACTGGAGCTTTTGTCTAAAAGATGCCTGAAGCGTCTGCACAACACGAAAACTGTAACCGTACTTATGAGGATTGGTACCAAATCCTCGAACCAAAAATTAAGCAGAATTATACTAATTAACATAAACTGAACCCATAAGATATAATTTATTATTAATAAAATTTAAATTCAATTTTTTAATATTATGTAAAAACGAAAAATAATTATAATATTTTTACAAAATTTTTACGACAAATCTAGTTTCAAAATATTTTTAAGTAACAATATATTAAAATATCCCTAGGATATTTTTAAACAAAAAATATTTTTTTTCGTTTGGCTATCTGGGGATTTGTTGGGATTAAGTGTAATTTCAAGAAATATCGGTGGAATTAGTAGACGATGATTTATGATTTCCGAGGACTTTTGAGTTATTTCCTTCGACATTTCTTCTTATAACCACCAATCTCTCACAATGTTGGGAGAGAAAATTCTCTCTCAATCCATGTTTGCCTTATCAAAAATCTTTGAAAATTTAACAAAATTAAAAGGTTTTTCATTTTCAGTAGAAAAATAGCTCAAGAAACAGAATCAACATTTTATTCTGATGATGGGGGTGTTTATGTTGGAGAAGAAAATAAAAAGAAAAAATTAGAACTTCCATTATTAATTACCCCATCATCTACAGCTTATTATGCAACAGCAACAATTCCTTCAATAATTTCAAATCAATCAGATATAACATATTTACATACTGGGACATTAAAAGAAAAAGATTTACATTCAAAAAGAAGAAGGGATTCATCTAGACCAAGTATCCTTTCAATGAGGTAATTTTTCGAATTTAAAGAAAAATTATTTTAATTAAAAAAAGAAATGATTCAAAAGAAAGACAGCAATTATTAGCTTCAGCAGTAAATGAAGCATTTGCTAATACAAGGAGTGCAGATGGAAGGAGAAAGGAATTTTTAATACCAAATGAAGATAATGAACAATTAAAAATTGAACAAGAAAATGAAGAAAAGGGGAAAAAAGAAAGGGGGAAAAGTACTGAATTTTGGGTTTAATATAAAATTTTGTGTTTTACATAATATTTATTTTTTTATTTTTTTTTATTAAAAATACAACTGCTTTTTAATTTTAATAAATTTTTAATATTAGGCTAGTGGAAATAATTTATTTCCTTGTAATGTTTCGCCGGAACCGTAAATACCGTATTTCCTATATTAGAGCCTCACCCTTTGTTAGAGCCCCACCCTCTAATACAGCCCCACTTTGGAGGATAGTTGAAAAATAGAGCCCCACCCTCAATTAGAGCCCCACCCCTAATACAGCCCCACGTAAAAATATTGGAGAAAAAATAAGTTTTTTTTAAATTTTTTTCCCTTCAGTGAATTGAGTGAAGTGAACAAAGGGGGTATCGATGTTTAAAAGAAAGATTAGGGGGATATAAGGATTGATGGATATCGTGGTATTCGGCCGACTCGAAAACCCCAACCCTAATTTCCACGATATCTATCCAAATACTTTAATATCACATATTCCAAAAAAAATCCCTTGATATCACTTCCAATACCCCAAATCCACAATGCCTCTCTTGCTAATCTAATTCTCTGATATATCGCCTTAATCCTGCTATATTTCACATGATCTCTTAAAGTCCGCTTATAGGTATGCCTCGATAATATCAACTGTTACCCTTCTAGATCCATCGATGACAAATACAAGTCCTTGAAATTCCTTTTTAATCATAGCAAGTCCAAATATCCCATTTGAAAACCCTAAAAATATCGGCCATTTTTCGATATTTTTTTATTTATCGAAAAAATCTCTCAAAACCTCCGACCGACGTTTAGCTGCAATAGATATTAATAAATGGAATTTCATCTCAAAAGAGGGTTGAAAAATAGAGCCCCACCCTCAATTAGAGCCCCACCCTTTAATACACCCCCACCTTAGAGGATAGTTGAAAAATAGAGCCCCATGGGGCTCTAATATAGGAAATACGGTATATAAAAAGGCAATTCAAATTGGGCCAACCGGAACTTCTGACGGAATACTTAATTAGAGGTTAGAAAAAGAAAATTAAAAAAAAATTAGTAATTATTGTTTCCTCAACGTTTTTTTGTCTCTTAAATTAGGCAAACTCAACCAAAAGAAGAAAAAAAAATTATAAAGTAGCTGGCAATACGTCTTAAAATCGATTTTTGTTGGCTTTGCTTTAAAATAAAATTTTTTGTCAATAAAAGAATAACTAACCAAATTCATGGCCTTTATTTTAAAAAAATAAAATTTGGCCCTTGAATATACTCTTTGTTCCCTATTTTTTAATTAAAAAATTTTTTTTTATTTCCTGAATTTTTTTATTTTTTGAGAAACAATATTAGTAATTTGTATCAAATTCTAAATTTCAAATTTTGAAAAATCAAAGTTCGCAGTTATTTATTTGTTACACGTAACTCAAACTGTGCTTATATTTTTCAATGGGTTATTTTAGTGGTTATTAGAGACTGGGCTTATATTTTTCGATAGGGCTCCTTGGGTGGGCTTATATTAAAGAAGGGCTTCTATTAGAGTATTTACGGTATATTATTTAACTAATGAAAAAAACTTTTCAGTAATAAACTTAATTAAGAGAAATTTAAATGAGCTTTTTAGAAATTAATGATTGTAATAATTTATATCAAATAATTGGTTGTTCTAAAAACGCCACAGTAAGTTGTATGAGAACTTTTAAAAATAATTTTTTTCCTTTAAACAAGTCTGATCAAATTTTGGTTGAATATAAACAAAAAGCTCTTTTGTTACATCCAGACAAAATTAAAAACAAAAATATATCTGAAGATGAAATTAAAGAAAATTTTCAAAAATTACAAGTATTTTTCAATTATTAAGACTAAAAAATAAAATTAATTTCTCATTCAGTTTGCAAAGGATATTTTAACAAATCCACAAAAACGGAAGCATTATGACCTTTGGATGGATGTTGGTTTTTCAGAATTTTCTCTTCAAGAATGGATGAATAATCAAGAAAAATTACAACAAGTAAAGACAATTAAACTATTCTCTTCCTCTCAAGAAAATATTTTTTTAAATTTAAAATAGACTTTGCATTGGGGACAACAAAAAGAAAAAGGAAAATTAACGGGAATATCAACAGAATGTAAAGATAGAGGAAATGAATCATGGAAGGGATGTAATTCACCTACTTCAAGGGCTTTTAGAGAATATAAAATATAGAAAATGAAAGCTTATTTTCTAAATATTTTTAAAAATTATTTTATAATTCCCCCCTTACATTCTTTTTTACAGTATACCTAAATAAATATTTTTGGCGTTTTGTTATTTTGGCGAATTATTTGTATTTATTCTGATATATTTTTCCAAATTAAAAATCATTTGATATAATTTCCATTTCATTTTTGAAAATATTTTTATTCCAGATGTTTTCTTTTAAATCTTGATTAAAGGATAAACTTCTCATCAAAATGCCTCCCTTACAAGCTTTTGGGCATCATTGGAATATTTCAAAGTAAATTTTAAAAAATTAATTTTATTTATTTTTTCTTAAATTTTTCAGCGATGATTTTGTCTTTCCTGGATTAACTGATTTAATTGTTAGAAGTTTTTGGTAAAATATTTTTAAGTAGAATCACATTTATTTAAAAGGGTTATTTGTTCTCTAATTATTTTTATTGTTCACAATCCTTTTGGTTGTTCAACATATGTTTGGTTACCCATTGTTTCTTTAATGATTTTTGTAAATTTTCTTTCTGGCGGCCTCTCTTTTGCTCTAGCAATGCTTAGCGCTCAGGGATCAATAATGGAAATGGAAAAGAGGAGACATGTCTCAACATTATTATATGCAAGACTTCCTGTATTTTTTGTTGAAGTAATTTGGACAATTATAACGACTTTGCTTTCTTTTAGTAAATTTTTTCGTGAAATTATTTTTTGAAATTGAAAAATTTAGATATTTTCTACAATGCTGATAATCTCTGTAAAATTGAAAGTGGAATTCGTATTGCTGTTGTTATTGAGTGGATTCTAGTCATTTCTATATTTATTGGTGCAATATGTGTTTTTAATCCACATGAGGGTAGAAGAATGGATAGATCTTTGGTTGATGAACGGTTATATTGGAAACGAAATTTTTTTCTGGTTTGTTTTTCTTTATCAAAAAAAATTCTGGGTAAATTTCTTCGACTTCGAAAATTTTTTGGCACGCTTAATCATGCCCTTGTTTTATTTTGGGACTTTGGAAGGCCATATCTTGGCCAGATCAAAAAACGGGCAAAAACGGCTAAAATCCTTGCTAGAAAGGGCACATTCTCTATCGAATGAGCCCGGTCTCGACCGTTTTTAGGTCGGGCACCTCGCAACCTCTCCGTGTTAGTATCTCTTTAGTAGGGGGTTTTTCCTAATACTTTCCTAACAACATTTTTTAATTCTGAAATGTTTTTTCATTTTACTTAAATTGCCAATTTTTCAGTGCAAAATGCGTGCTGATAACCAAGTTCGTCAGGCATTAGACGACATTGCAACGCTCATCTCTCAATTTTTTGAAGACAATAATTATGTTATTTCTGACATTATTGCTGGCCTTCTTCTTCTTGTACATTCCCCACACAAGCGCATTCCGCCTCCAATTGAGTCAATTATTAAAAATGAACATGAATTGCCGCATTGGATGAAGGTTATTTTTTAAAAGATTTTTTTGAAATTCTTTTATTTTTAAGTTGCCAAATTGTTTAAAATATGCTAGTCGTTACTTTGAATTTGCTTTTGCTGTTTATGGATGGCCGCATTATGTTGGTTGGTTTTCTAATTTTCATCTTGATTCAATAATTTCCTTATTATTTTTACTTTAGCCTGTAATTGTGCTTGTGGGGCTTGGTATCTTCTTTGTAAGAAACTCAATTGTTGTTGCCGTAGACAGTTTGTTTTAAGTTTTTACAAAATAATTTTTATATATTTTAGTGATAATCGCAGAGATTTTATGTTAATGGGTGATAATTGTTGTTCTTGCCATAGCAGGTTATCTTTTTTAATTCTTATTTATTTTTGGGAAGGATATGAAATTCTAAAGGTCAAAATTGTAATAATCCTGTAAATTATAAAAGGTTAATAAGAGAAATGTAAATTTACTTATTTAAGTTACCCATTAAGTACCCACTAGAGAACGAGCTGCATCCAGACTTTGATTTTTCTTGGATCCAGAGTCCAGATCATGTCATTTTTCAGAGTTCCTTGATTCTTCCTTGACTCGAGGTCAAGAATCTGGTCAAGGTACCCAACCGAAATCAAAGTCATGGTTTTTTTTTTTTGAAAATCTCGCTTTCTAGGACCCACCCGTATTCTTATCTGCTTTAGAATTATTTTAAATAAAATACTATTAATTTAAGTGCCCTTGAATTAATGTTGGACGATGAATGTACACCTGCCTTTGTTTGTTTCCGAAACGGACTTTTTGAAGTACCTTTTGCTGTTGTTATTGACCATCATACCAATTCAATTGTTATAGCAATACGGGGTAATTTTTAAATTTATTGAATTTACAAAAAAATATTTTTAAAGGTTCCGCATCATTTATGGACATAATAACCGATCTTTCACTCGATGATGAAACGTTGGACTCAATTGATGTGGATAGTGACCCAATTCTACGTTCAGACAAGGAATTGGACGGTTTTTAGATTAAAATATTTAAAAATAATTTTTTTTTATTTCCAGGCTACGGCGAAATCCGTGTCCATAAAGGAATTTTAAAAAGTGCTCGATATATTTATGAGACTTTACAAACCAATCATGTCATCGAAGATGCTCAACAACGCTGTCCAAATTACAATATTGTAATTTGTGGGCATTCTTTGGGTGCTGGTATTGGTTCTTTATTGGCACTTTTTTTAAAGTACTTTTTCTAATCTTAAAAAAAATTTCTTTTAAAAAAGGATCAAGTATCCGGATATTCGTTGCTATGCCTTTGCACCGCCAGGGTCTGTAGTAAGCGAAAATGGAATTTATGTTACTGAAAAATCAACGTTATCTTTTGTGTTGGGTGATGATGTTGTTCCTCGAATGACTTTCCAAGTATTTTTAAATTTTATTTTTTATTTTTCATATTTTTAAAGTCAATTTCTCTTCTAAAAACGGAAGTTGAAAGAGAATTAACAACAACAGACAAAGCAAAATATGAAATTTTAATTAAAGGAATTTTTAAATTGATTGTCTCTTATCCTTTTTCATTGCATAGAGGTTTGAATTAAATTATTTAAATAATTTTTATTCTTAATTTAGCTGACAATATATCAACCCAAGGATTTGCAAATCTAACAGAGAACAATAATGATATGAGGCATTCAGAAAATATTGGAACTAGAGAGGAGAGAATAATGGTATATTTTAAATTATTTTTCAACAAAAAATTAATCCTTTTTAGCTTCGACCTCCGGGCAATCTGCTTCATCTAACCTTTGAAAACCAAAAAATAAAAGATCGAGTCAATGTCAATTGGATTGATCATTCATCGCTCGCTGAAATACAGGTACAAATTCTATTCTTGTTATCAAAACTTGTGTCATGCCTCTGACTTGACGTTTAAAATAAATTCTGTTTTAGCTTACAAGTTCAATGCTTAGCGATCATTTGCCATATAATATTCACAGAGCACTTTTGATAGCAAAAGAATATTAAAATGCCCATAATATTTTTGCATAATTTATTGATTCTTTGAATGACTTGTATTAAGATATTTATCTTTTTTTAATCTAATCTCAATTTTAAACTGAAATTTCTAGAAACAAATTTTATTTGCTTTTAGTCTTTAATTTTTGTTTGATATTTATTTTTAGAATTCTATTGTAAGTAAATTTTCCTATTCATTTTCCCATACAACGATTGTGATTTTATTCATTTTCTCTTTAGTAGATACATATAATTTCTTAAACAATCATTATTTGTACGGGTAATTTCAAATCTTTGGGGTTCATTTTTGGATTAAAAATTTGAACAAACAAATGGGCATGAAAGATAAAATTAATTTTTTCATACTATGCCTTATGGCAGTATTCATTAAACGAACTCCTTTTCCTTTCCGTAAGGTTGTAAGTACAAAAATCAAAGTCTTGGAGTGAAAGAAGAAATGGAAAGGGAGGTCGTTTTTCTGAAAAGGTTTTAAAAACTTTAAATATTCAAATTTACTTTCCAAAACATCTAAATTGTAAGCCGATCAATTGCTTTTCTAAGTTCAATATTCGAGCATTGGGGGTGAACCAAAGTTGTCAACAATTCAGTACATAAGTGATCACAAAGGCCTGGGCTTGCATCCTCAGCTCGTCGAAGTGCTATTGCAATTGTTTCCAAATCAGCGGCTCCATGACGAGTTCGAGACAATTTCTCCAGTGCTGGCAAGAAGGCTCGCGTCAATGATCCACGTGGAGTAACGAGGCGTGGTGTAATTGGCGGTGGAGAAGAAGCATTTGACATTGGAGAAGTTGTAACAGGAACAGAAAATGTAAATGACGAAACTTCATTATTGCTAGATTTATTAACATTAGGTGTCGTTACAACTGGAATGACATTTCTTTTGCCTTCACGAATTACAACGGTTGACGTTGAATTGCCTGCTTAAAATATATAAAAATAAGTTTAATTTTTGTTAAATAACCTGCAGGAGCCTTCGCAATATTTTGATTATTATGCACTTCTGAATGTTGGTTCGTTTGATTATGATTCTCTACAAACTGTTTCTGTATATTTTGCTGGGATGTTGTAGATGGCATCCGTAAAGTATCAATGTTTATCACAGATGTATTATTTTGAAGGTGTTGGGTTCGGACATTCGAAGAGGCGACCTGAAAATTTCATATGAATGAAAATAATAAAACGGAATCAGTTGTAGACAGACTGGGTTCGAGAATATTATATAATTTAAAGAACAGGCAAAAAATCTAAAAATAACAAACCTTAATAGTAGCCACATTGTCAGCTGTCTCGTTAACAGCCTTGCTAACACGCGACCATTTATCACCATCAACATCTCCCAATCCTCTCATTCCGTCTTCAGTTGGACTTCTCAGAGTTGGATAATCCCATTGAGTCCCGCCCGAATTTGAGTCTGCGTCAGAATCTTGGTCAGAATCCGCGTTTTGTTGAGAAATATTACGGGCACGATATTCCAAACTTCGCTCAATTACATCACGAAGAATTTCGTTCTTACGTGCGTTTTGGATAAATTTGTGACG